CATTACCATTCATTTTTTATTTTATTTTGTTTCTATTTTAGAGCATTCAAACTTAGGAAGTAAGCCCTAAAATCTACTTTGGGCCGAGAAAGCTCAAATCTATCTCTATTCGACTATTTTAATCCAAACACAATTCATCAAGCATAGCTCAAACTATATTGGGCTAATCTCTCTAAAATATTTAGCCCATATTATTATTCTACGGGACCCTTCGGCATTTGAGTTTTGTCTTCAAACAAACATCAAGGCAAAAACCACAGAGACAAAATTAGAGATCAAAATTCAAAGGCTTTGTTTGTGTCTGGTTTCTCTGCTTCTAATCCATTGATTAATAATCAGGTAAATATAATTTACTTTGATCAAATTTAATGATTTTTTCCCGATATTAATGAACAATTTTTTTTTTTCCAAGGTATTCATGGTCTTTTCTTTTAGCAGACTTCAAAGATTAGAACTTTTAGATCTTCTGCACTTGCATAAGAATTGGAGGTGCTAACTATTGTTTCTGTTAGATTTGTGTTAGTGGGTTTAGGTTTGACTACAAGGAGATCAATTTGATTTGTGATAATTAATTAGAGTTTGTTAGGGCATGAGAGGGGTTTGGTTTCTTTCCTTGTTGTAAAATGAATTTATATGAGAAACCCATTCGAGGAATCAGTTTAAAACTGTGGAAACAGTAAAAGAAGCTAACTTTGTTGGGTTTTTTCATTGTGGAGGGGACTCTTTGGATGCTTGAATTTTTTTTTATGGCGTATTTGGTTGCTGATAGAGTTTAGGATTTCGAAAAGGGATGGCCTTGATTGAATTTTAGACTTTCTTTTCTGCATTTTGCAAACTAAATCAGGTTCGAGCATAAACATGTGAATTCAATTTTGTGCTAATTGTTTCTGGAAAATGAAATCCTCGATTATTTGTATTATGCATCTTGATATCTCTTATTCATAATTAATCAGCTAATTGCTGGCATTTGCAGCCTTGGATAATTTTCATGAAGGGTGTCTTTTCTGACTATATTTATACTCTATTGGAATCTAAAATGGCATGTTTTTTTTCCCACTTTCTTCTCCTCTGAAATGAAATGTTTTATCACTTTTATTCTTGATTTGTGCTTCGGTGGTTGAAGATGGATCGCAGATGGCACAGTGATAAACAAGAAACAAGCACCCACAATAAACAGCAACTTATTAGAGAGCAGGTAATTTCAGGCTTATAAAATTATATCGCCTTTTTTTATGGCTTTTTGCATATTTGATGGATTGCACCAACATAGCCTATTCAATACGGTAGGCTTAATGAGGAGATTTTTGTGAATTTCCAATTGGCTAGTTATAAGTGGCTTGTAAATTTCCCCAATTAAGGAATAACCTAATTTTGCACAGTCGCTTAATATTTATAATAATTGTTCACATGGACATTATATTTTTATATTTTAATGGAAATTTTCCTTTACTATGTGTTTGTGCATTCATTACAAGTTTTGTGAATGGTTGAGGATCATGCAATCTCATGTGCATGGATGTGTAACATCGCATTTGTTGTATGTGCTTGATAGGACTCTCTTATTGAGGATTTCACAGAGGATTTTCGGTTACCAAAAGATCACAGACCTACAGAAAATGTTGATCTTGACAATGTTGAACAAGCTTCATTGGACACAAAGTTGACAGCGTCAAATATTGGTTTTAGGCTTCTTCAGAAAATGGGATGGAAAGGAAAGGGTCTTGGAAAGGATGAGCAAGGTATGTAAATAGTTGAGCCTCATTCATGGGAGGAGTTGTTTGAGGATGGTCTCCTATCCTTCTTCATTTTTTAAGTGATTGCTTTGCTTGAATCTACCACCATGTTTTCACTGTTGTACCATCAATAGGTAGTTAAGATGCTTTGGAATGTATTTTATTTACTCTATTGACACATGATCTTGAAATCATTGAAGTTGAATCATGCTGCTTTATGTTTGTTACTTGAAGCCTCCATTTTCTACGGAACAAAACAATCACCTCAAAAACCTTTCCTTGGCTACAGTGATCGATGAACCCATATGTCCTGGCCCTGAATGCTCTTAAACCTCCTATTTCCAATATAGTTTTGATTATCAGACCACGAGCTTTACTCAGATATATAATGTCGGAGGTTGCAAACCGTTAAACATGCAGATATATCTACTTATTATTGGCTATTGGCATTGTTTGCTAACTGTTCCTTTTGTACAATTATTTGTGGTCTGCTATCTTGTTAAGTAGAGTGAAGTGGGTAGAGTTTCCAATCTATCATTTGCCGTTAGTCTGAATGATATGAGAAGCATCAATAGGATTGATTCCTGTGGAATGTTTTATTTTTTTATGATGTTGTAATTTTAACAATAATTTTTGGCTTTTATGTTCAGGAATCATTGATCCTATAAAATCTGGAATTAGAGATTCAAAGTTAGGGATTGGAAAACAAGAAGAAGATGATTTTTTTACTGCAGAAGAAAATATTCAGCGAAGAAAACTTGACATTGAGGTTGAAGAAACTGAGGAACACACAAAAAAGCGGGAGGTATGCCTATAAATGTGTAGATCATTATTAATATTTTAACTGGTAGATAATATTTTGAGGTTGATGCTTTTTTCTCTGAAACCCACATCTAATAACAGAAGGCAGCATATAGCATATATGCGTGTCTTTTGACGGGAATGGTATCATCATGGGGGACATCAACTTTCGAAGCTCTTGAGAATTTCCTGCAGTTTTTATTACCTGGCGGCTTCTACTGCCTGCTTCGTGCACATTATGAAAATTCAGGTGTTAGCTGAACGGGAGCAGAAAATTCAAACTGAGGTGAAAGAGATAAGGAAGGTGTTCTTTTGTGATCTTTGCAACAAGCAATACAAACTAGCCATGGAATTTGAAGCTCATCTGAGTTCATACGACCATAATCATAGAAAGGTGTGAAATCTTACTTGGCATTTTTCAACCCCTAGTGCTATCACTCTCTGTTTTTTCTCCTATATCTGTAATGCTCTTGGATGATGGTTTCAGAGATTTAAGGAAATGAGAGAGATGCATGGTACTAGCAGTCGTGATGATCGGCGAAAACGAGAACTGCAACGACAGGAGAGGGAGATGGCTAAGTTTGCACAGATGTATGCATTCTTGTTTTCTTTCACAAATGCAACAGCTAGTTCAAATTTTTCCATTTGTTTCATTGTCTTCATAAAATTTTCCTTGCCATATTTGTTTTTATATTCTTCTATGCAATATAGGGCAGATGCTCATAAACAGGAGCAGCAACAAGAAGAATCTGCATCAGCTCAGGTTTCCACTTCGCTTAGAAGTGGAACTGCACTTGTGGATCAGGATCAGCGGAGGGCATTAAAATTTGGGTTTTCATCTAAAGGTGGCCTTTCAAAGGTATGCAACTGAAGAATTAGAATTTATATCATTGTAGGCGCTTAGAAGCTTTACAGTGTGATGAGTAAAGAAGCTGTTTTCATGGCTTCATTGTGCCGTCACAAGGTAAATTATTGCGGTATGATAATAACATGTTAGTTTATTCTAGGGTCCTTATTTCCTTTATAACTTTACTAAACTTACGTCTTTATGCATTGCGGTGAGTGTAGATGAATTGTTATCTCCCATGCATTGAAATTCTCTCTCTATCTAAGATTTTGCAACTTGTAGATGACTCCCTGACAATCAATTGCACTCATAAAATGTATTCCCCTTTTGAGTAAATGTTGCTTATGTCATGTAACTTTAAAAAACATCCTTTCTGTATGGCAACACTTTTACTCTCATGGATATAAGTAACAAGAATAACAACTGTGTTCCTTTATTTTGTTTGATGTTCTGAAAAGTAATGTTGAATGGTATCTCAAGATCGCATACCTATTTTCTGGCTTACAACACAAGGTATTCTTTTCAACTTATGCGAGTTACATTGCCCTTTCTTGCCTTGTAATTGGCACCTCTTTGAATTTTTCACCTGTAAAATCTGTAAGCAATATCACAATGTTGTACCAATTTGGGTGAAAGAAATCAATATTTGATGAATGAATAGTTCATCTGCTCTTCATTTAACTAGTGGCCCTTTTGCATTCACTGCACAGAACTCCTCAGCCAAAGCCGCAAAGAAGCCAAAATTAGCTGTAGCCTCTGTTTTCAGCAATGATAGTGATGAAGAACAGTGAAGTTCGGTGGTGCATCCGTACTTCATACCATGCCGTAATACTCTAGTTTTCTTTAGTTGATGTTATGCATTTCAAGTGGCATACTCTTGTGTAGTTCTAAGCACTTTCGTACTGTGTAGTATGGACAGGGAGGCTGGTTGCACCCTTGTTAAAAATTTCTGTGTGCAAATCTAGTTCCCAAGACTTAGAGCCTAACTCATGGCTAAGTTTCAAGTTGAGAAAAAACTATTAACCGATATGATTAATTTTTTCAAATCTGATATAAAGAAAATTGGTAGATAAAGTCCCTTTAAAAAAAAAAAATTGAGTTAATTTCAATATTATTATTCTTTTAATATAGATGTTTATAAAGAACATTACTTGTTAATTTTTTTCCTTCAATGATTGGCAGGACTGAAAAATGAAAATTAGATGAAAGGAATTGTATTTGTGAGGCTTCTGAGCATTTTTCATAAAATGTGCACATGCTTTCTGAGAGCAAAATAGTTATCAAGGCAATGAAAGCTCGACTCTTGTATAAATTATGTCTAATAAGAAAAGAAAAGATAATGTGATTGGTTAAAGAAACAAAAACATAAAATAAATTATTTTATGGATATTTTTGTATTTTTTAAATAAAAAAAATACAAGAAGACATTTTCTTTCTGTTTCTATTATCTCCGTTTTTTAATTTAAAAAAATGATACCAGTCATTATTTTTCAACCAAAAAAATACGACATTACAACAAAAGGGATTGGGAGGATTTTGAGTCATGGTCTTTAATCTTTTAGATAAATTGAGTTATTTGGCAATATCTTCAGCATTTAAAAATCTAAATGAGATTCATCAAAATTTAAACATTCTGTTCCTTGATATTCTTTAAAATTGTCCTGATGCCATGTTTTTAGCAGACGATGGATACAAATAGATTATCAATTCATAGTCCTAATGTGCCTAACAAACATTTACATAACAGAGTGATCTCTGATTGGCATAGGAAAATCTGTCATAGCATTACAGCCTAGCAAAAGGATAATTAAGCAGCCTCTGCGAAACCCACTTCAAGGTTACCATAGTCGAAGACGGTATGATACACACCCATGAATACATCACCAAGAATCCTGCAGGCATGAATTTTCAGGTTAAACTCAAACATAAACTGCAGAAAGAAAAGCTATATATGTCGACCAGAGCCATAACAATGGCTAGGATGGCATACCACAGAGGACCCCGTGGAGGCGGCACATCCAAAGCCATGAACCCACTGATGCAAACTTGAGCAATGCCTTCTCCGGTTTTGAGAACATACTGAAAGCAAACAAGTGGTTTTAGAAATACAAAGATAAAGATTTCTAATGATATATTTCGACTTCCAAAGCAAGATTATGGAAATCGAACCTGCTCTGGAGTGAGGCTAAAAGGTTTATCTCCGATGGTAAATGAGATGTTTGGCATGGATGAAATGCTATTGCAATCAATCACTGACTCTCCCATTGGACTTGGCAGGCTTTCACATAGCTGTTGAGGATCAAAAACTAAAACTTAGCATACAGATTTGAGCTTCTGAAAAAGAGGCAGGGTTTTGATGTAAACCAACCTTATCTAAATAGTTGATTGCTGCTTCCTTTGTTTCCTTTTCTCTTAGTTGATTCTGGACCCAAATAACAAGCATCTCACAAGCAGTGCATAGAAGATCATCACCAGCAGATGATCCCTCGTTTTCCTTCTCAACCACTGATTCAATACCAGTGCTACACAAGAAATCAGTTTTAGTGTCAACCAAAGATGCTGTTGAGGCAGTTTCTTAAGCACCTTATAAGGCCCCTTAACTCTTTTGCAATATAGAGAACATTGGTCAGCAGATTCACAAAAATTTCTTGCATTCTGGTAATCATGCTCATGCACTTGCAATTTGCCCCAATATCTAAAAATATGCACTTTCAGTGCCACTCATCGCTATCAAATAGTTGAAATCTTTGAAGGAAATACTGTCCCAGGATGCATGGGATGAAAGCGATCAGGCTAAGTCATCTTGTGCAAGGTTTCTGTGCCAAACATGTGGATTAGAGACCAGAACATAACGTGAATTTCTTTACCTCACATACTCATCCCCATTGAAAATGCATAAACCAAGTTGCGCACATACTTTGTTGGGTTTTACCTGAAGTCCACAGCATAAAATTAGGGCATCAGCATACGTGGAAATGCAATTGAACTAACAAGCTAATTAGAGACAAACGCACCCCTGATATTAAGAGTTCCCATATTAAGTCTCCATACTGAGAAACCACTTCCTTACACTCAGCGCTCACAACCCCTTCTGCTCCAATGGCATGATTGATTTCGGTAATGATGGGCTGAAAATGATAGTTAGTATACATTTGAAACAAGTAAAACATAAATAAGAAGGGAAATTTGAACTTTAATGCAAGGAGGCCTGTTTTGGGAAGAAGCCAATCATCAGGAAGGTGAAAGAAACTTACTGTTGGACCAGCAAGCAATGAGGTTCCGGAGTCCACAATTGCAGCGCAGCCCTCCTCGCAAAGACCTGAGGAATAAGTGAATGTATTAGAAGGCTTTGTTGTAAGAACATGAAGGCTGCCGGGTTTTACAGACATGGAATTCCATTAGACTTCAGGTAGAAATTTTGGCATCATGCTGAATCATGAACTTGGAAATGCACGAGGCAGACCATGTAGAGAAACTAGATATTAGGATGCAACAATTTCCAAGAGAAGTGACTCATCATTCATTATAGGATTCAAGGTGCTCGGCAGTTCTCATGTCTGGAATTATCTACTGCAGTTTTTCCTCTATGTTAACAGAGGATTATACAGAGAAAGGGGGGCGTAAACAACATAGAAATAAAAAAGGCCAAGTTGACTGAATATCACCTGTTGAATGGTTGCCAATTAGAAAATCCCCCATGTTGATCTGAAAATGGGAAACAGCAGTGAGAAAAACTCAGTTTCCCCTCTTTGAAAATAGCATATAAGAACAAGGTTAGAAATTGGTCCAAAGATGAAATGCTTTTACCTGCCAGTACCCTTTTTTGGTAACTGGAACATAGGTATGCTTTCCCTTGAAGTGTTTCGGATCAACCCCTCCAAAAACAAGCTCGCCACCCTCTTTTGCCTCAGGATTTCGGTTGAGCCAGAACGAGAACACCTCATCATCTACAAGATCTTGTTGCACCATATTGTACCTGTGCTCTTTCCATGAATTAGTCTATCCAAGGTACTAGAGAAAGGAATCGCAGAGATGATGAATCTAAGTGATTGTTTCCGAGAAGAATGAAATTACAAAACAAGAACTATGGTCCTGACATAAACATACCACACAGGGACAACATTCCCAACTGAAATTTCCTGAAACCCAAGCCCAAGTATTCCATCAAACTTCCCCAATACGAATGAAAGACTTCCTTCTTTTGTAACCTCAATAAAAACCTGGATTACAAAAGTCACACACACACACACATTACTGCAAACAGAAGAAAGATGATTCTCCAAATAAATGTAAAATGGAACAAATAATTCACTTGATGTTTGACAACAAGGCCCCCAACTTGAACATTGTCTTGACTTAAGAAACCAGAAATTGATCCTGATCCATAATGTATTTCACAAGAGTTCCCTGAATATGAATTTGAAAACAAAAATTTGAGTTTTAACCTCAGAACATAGCATCCAGTGTTGTCTATAACATGTACTCTAGTAATTTAACTTCAAATGTAGTGAAAATAGAGACCACATAATTACCATTCTTGATATATGTACTCGACAAGCTTGACTTGTACTTGGAATGGAAATAGCAGGCAATCTGCAGGTGATTGCGAGTCAGCAACTGATCTCATCTTTAGGACTGTACATTAAAAACCAATAAAGATCAGTTGAACTCACAGAAAAGTAGCATTTTGATGATGGAACCCAGAGATTGGAGCTTCCAGTGTCAAATATGACTGTGAAGTTTTGTGGGGGCGAGCCAATACCAATTTCTCCCACGTATTGAGCATCCAAATAGTTTTTAAGGGGTATTATATCTGCATCTGAAGTTCCTAGATCATGGAACAAACTGTTTGCACCTGCTCCTGATTTTCCCTCCTGTCTAGCAATTCTGGCAGCCTTAATAGTATCAAGGTCTATACGGCGCTTCTTCAAACCTATTCTCACCAGGCCACTAGAGTTAGCAGGAAGAAGCAAGCATGTCAAAGCCCATAAACAGAAAACCTTGAGAAGAATTTTATTCCCCATATGAGGATACAATATCCCTGCAAGATAGAATGAAGAAAAGAGTAAGCAGGACGCTCAACTGATTGCCTGAACAGAGCATTTGCGTGTCCTAATATACTCATTTCCATAAAAATAAAAGAAAACAATTGTGTAAGCCAGTAGCTTTCGAAAAGGAACCAGATTACTATATAGTCTCAGTAGCTTCTTACAAGAAAACTTGATGTTGTCAGATGGTGATGAAATTGTTAGAACAAAAGAAATATTTTGAATAAGAAACTTTTGCGTTGGTGATAATTGTAAGCAAGTTTTCACCAGTCCAATATCCAAACACATGCCTATTTACCTACTCAAAACTAGATCAAATGATTCACCTCTCCATGATGTTAGCTATAAATTGAAACATCAACAAGAACTATGAAGATCAATATTTACAACTAGCTTCCAAAACAAGGGTAAGTGTCATACTGTTTTCAAATAAAGGAAACACAGAAACCCTTGAGCATATAGCACAGTCTGGAAGGGTACAAGAAAAGAGATAACAACCAAGATATCAAGATCAATATGTTCACGCATGCAGTGATGATGATTTTGTGTGTGAGAGATAGAGAGGACAAGAAGTGAAACCGGAGCTGAACTTGAAGCAAAGTGAAGAGACTGAGTACTGTTGAGCTTGAAGAGGGTGTAGCAATCAAGGCAGATAGCTAAACGAAAAGAAAAAGGTGATTGTTATAGAAAACAAAGCTTTTAAAGATCTTCCAGCACTACAGTAGAAGTGGTAAGCAATGGTTGTCGTGTCTTGATTCGCTCCTTCTAAATAAAACGATAAGAAAAATGTGATTTTGATTGAAAACAACCCTTTCAGCAAGGACCACCTCTGGTTGATTCTTCTTGCTTCATTGAAACCTGCTTCCCTCTCTTATCATCTTCCACAAGAAAACTGTTGCCCCCGTAAACATGACATCTAAATGTTTTGTCTTCTTGCTCTTGATTACTGGTTGTTTAAGAGGACGGTACTGGTGGTATTTTTTTATTTTAAAATGATATTTTTTATTTTTTAAAAATTATTTTTAATATTAATATATTAAAATCATCTAAATATATAATTAAAAATTTAATTTTAAATAAAAAAATTGACCTCATTTTTTTTAAAAAAATATTTGGTTAAAAAAACATGAATAAATATATTCTGCAGTAAATTTTGATATGAAATATAGAAAAACATAAACTAACCTCTTTATTCTGGGGGGAAAAAAGGCTAAAAATCACTGTGGGATAGCCCAAAAGAATCTATGACATTTAAACCCTCCAAGCCCAACAGGCAAAATACACAAACGAATCAAATAGACCCATTTCATAATTCTGCCAACCTCTCTATCTCAGACGGGCACGGAAGACGAAATCCCGAACTTATAAAATACAACTTCCCCTCGTCGTAATTCAATTCAACCAAACTTCCTGCTCAGTTCCCAGGTAGTAAAGATCACATCTCTATAACGTTTTAACCATTATATTGATGCGTTTTGTGGCTCTTAGAGTATTGATTCACACGCTCTCCATCTGTTCTGCAAAATGACACACTGAGAGAATCATCATTCTGTTTTTAATTTTACAAGTGTTTTAAGCCAGTTGCTTTTGACTTTCGATTGCATATGTGCACGGTATATTGCTGCAACATGTACTCTTTTCTTTTTTCCCTCAGCAGAGTAAGTAGTAGGAGGAGTTCATCGCTCACATCAAAAGGTTTTCTTTTTTGTGAAAAAGAATATTTTTATGCCACCAAATAATTTCAAGTAAGGATTTTTTATATGGAACATATAAGTGTTCTTGTGTCTGGGATTTTCTTGAATTTTTTTGCCATTGGGCTAGAGAGTTGATATTTTTGAAGCGTGATAAACGCTTGTACCTTTTAGTATATTGCAGGTTTTGAAGGGCATTGAACTGGATTGGCTGTTTGTTATAGATGGCATTAAGGCGCTTATGTGGGTTCTCAGATGGGGAGTTGATGAGGTCAGATTGTAAGCCTTGCTCTAGATTGATGAGGCAAACAGCTGGAATTTTTAGTGTTGGAGGAGCATTTGGTTTCTGGATTCTCTGTAGGTTGCATTATGGTATGTTCCCCTGTTCCTATTACGTTGTTCTTTTGACGTTTGCTCTGTTTCAGTAAAATGCTTTTGAGGTCGTTAAAGAACCGAACTACCATAGCTTTTACCATTGTGTATGCTACATCTTCCTTTTGGAGATGTTTGTTATGTTACTAATTGTAAAAAATCATTGAAGAACAAGTCTTGGAAATGAGGTTACATAAAGCCTGTCCCTTGTAAGGTTGGAGAAGGTCTGGAAAGTCGGGGTCTTCCATAAAAAGTTGAGAACTTTGTTTCCAAATAAGCACATGAATTCACATCCTAACATGAAAGATAGGTCATAATTTGCCATCAAATTGAATGCAACAATGTATACAATTTTGATCGTGATGATAGTGTTTATGGGCTGTTTCTTGTTCTTGGATGAAGCCATTGAAGATATTAAGCAGTTATTTAAATGGAAGGGTTTAATCTAATTGGCGTTCCGCCTTTAAGAAATTAATGGTTTCATTTGAGGGGTTTTTTCTCCTGCGTGTGTGTTGGAGTTGAACCAAATGGTATTCTCATTTTATTGACACAATCTTGTTTGACTAATGTAATCTATTAAGTGTGTCATCATCCGCAGGCCATTATGCTGTAAAGCATCCTGGAATTTCAGATGATGTGCCTGATATGACTTGCTCAAAAGGTTGTATAGATGATCATCTCAGTTGGAATCGAGATTTAGAAACCTATTAAAAATGTGAAAAGATCAAAGGAGGGGGTTAAAAGTCTATGTCAAACAGTGGCAATATCCTGGAAATCAAGCATGTAGATCTTTAAAGAAATCTTGAGTTGATTGTGAGTTGAAACATTTTAAGTTTGAGTTGTGGTAAAATCTTGAGTTAATTACATGGTGCTGTTATAACAGCTTTAACGTCCAAGTTGTAGTTGCAAAATATTAGAGTTATGGGAAACAAGTAGAGAAAATAGAACACTAAAAGGAGCATCCGATATATCAAAGCAATGGAAACTGCATAAGGGGAGGAATTGCAGTTACAATGTCTTTCTGAAGCATTTTGGATTTGGTGCTTACAAGTTAATTTTTCAACCCGTCATTGATCCTAAGACAAAAACTAAAAGATCTTTTTCTGTCTCCATTTTGTTGTTTTTCAGATGTGTAGTTTGTTTTTCAATTTTGCACACAATTAGCTATAGTTTTAGCTTTTCATAGTAGTCTGTATTCATCCAAACCTGCCATGTTTATCGGTCTGCTGTTCATGCAGGTCCAAGAATTACAAATCCTAGAAGTCTTCGGTGGGCTGCTTGTGGAGCTATTGCTTGGAGTTCAACTTCTGCTCTGCTGGTCCGCCTTTTTAGCCCTGAATGTGAACCCCAGAATATAGCTGCTTATGACAAAGTAAAATAGCAATAGGTTACCCATGAAGGTTGAAATTATGTTGTGGCAAATTAGCTATCCGCTGGTCTTTTATATAGAGACCATAAATTTTCTAGGTTGACCACCAGGACTGGATTCTTGTATTGCCTTATTGTCCAGTGGTGTGATTATTATCAAATGACTGATTTGAGTTTTGAGTCAGCTCCTTCTGAGAGGCTGGAGTCGTCAGAGACTGTACTTTTAGAATGGATTAGAGACAGAGCAGAGCCATAACTCTTGTCAATGCACGGAAAAGTAAGATTGCAGTGATTATCCTCTATTAAGAGTTGCCATGGATGTGCATCTCCAGCCCAGTTGCTGTACTTGCCCCCGTAGTGGGAGCTATACCTGTCTTGCTCTGGCAAGACAGGAGTACCATTGATCAAATTCCTTCTGATTGTGAATTACATTCAGGCATAATTTGAGGATATCAGGGGTGTTTGGTGCAGCGAAGGAAGTTTCTGTACTTGCTGGTTAAATCAATCAATAATGCCGGAGGAAACTCCAAAACCATGCATGGAACAAGTGTTTTGTCGCTTGCATACTATTTGGGACCTAAAGCCATTGATGTTGAACTATCTTGTTCACACTATACTTAATTAAGAATGGAGAAGGTCCAACTGTTCTTTATAATTTATGTTAAATGTATCGATGTATTAACTCTCTTACTTCTAACTAAAAGAAATTCCACCTTTTAGCACATATTGCATGAAATTAAGTACTAAGAAGTAATACATAAATCTTACAACATCCATGAATTATCAAGTTTGCATATACACAAACCTTATCAAACACAGAAAATACTATCTCAAAGATCCTGAGAATAGTTTCAGCTTTGTTTAAGTGATGGATTGCGTGTTGAAAATTAAATTGATTGCCCAAAATTTTTTGTCATGCATGTGATTGGCAAGCAGTGGCAATTAACAAATAACAAATTTCCTCAGATTTGATTTTTTTTTTTACAATGCTGCCTTTCGGTGTCAGCAAAGGTAGAGAATCAAAACAAATGTAGCACAGAATCTTATAAAATTGTTTAGTTGCAGAGAACAAGTGGACATAACTTGGATAAACAAATAGCAAACTGATAGTCTTAATCACTTAAATTAATCAATTTCATAACCTCCACACATTGGGTTAAATTGTAACCAGCACAGATACATACTTTAATTTGTGAGCATAATAACCTTAGCCTGCACCGTGGCGACCAAATTGTAAGAGAGCAAGTAATTATTTCGTATACCCAGAGTCCTTTATCTCATATGATGAATTGTTTTCATGATGAAACTAGTGTTTTGGTTGGTGTTATTTAACTTTAACTGACCGATTAGTTTAGTGATTTGTTTTTATAGCTGATTATTTAACTACTCGACTCAATTAAAACTTGATTTTATATTTTTAATTTTTTTTAAATAATGTAGTTTTTATTTTAGATTAATGATTGTTAACTTTAATTAACTCATTTATAACTCCAACCTTGGTTTTAATAACTTTATGTTAACGTAAGGAGGTTAGGAACAAAAACACGTGAAAAAAATAAATATTGAAACGACAAAAAGGAGAACAAAACATTGTGGTCGACAATGAATCATTACAAAAGGAAAGGACACATGTTTCATTGATGGAAATCACCGTCAAGTTTCCAACTTTATAAATAAATTCTATTAATAATTAATGAGATAGCAGCTTGATCATCAGCTAGTAGAAGACCATCTCAAAGATGTTACCACATTGACATTAGAGTTTCTTCTTCAAATTAATGATCAAAATATTCCAATCTCTATAATCAACTTGTTCTATCCTGTAGTTTTCATCGTGTAAACAAACGACTCTGATAAAAAACCGTTGAAGAAGACGATTGTCCCATTGTTTCTTGCACAACATTGACCATGAATAAGTAGAAAGTAAACTCTAGGAGTTTAACTTGATTGAAGTCTACAAGAACAAAAGGAGAATCTAGTTCCGTTCTCCAATAGGCAATGAGGTGGGGTGGGGTGACTGGTTGGTGGCTCGTAAGTGATTAGTGGAGTCTATGTTTTCCATATGTCACCAAAACATTATTTTTCTCCAGTCATCTCTTCCTCTTTACATCATCTCAACTTTCCTCTCCATTAGGCCTCCTCCATGCCATGGCCTCCTCCTCCTCCTCCTCCTCTAAGCACTGCAAGAAAAACGACTCCTTCAATGGCTGCTCCAACCCCACCAAGAAACCAAGATTTTCTTTCATTTCTGACTCTGAAATCCAATCAGAGTTCTCCCACCATGACCAAACCATCTCTCGGATTAACAACGGCAGCTTTGGCAGCTGTCCTCAATCTGTTATCTCTGCCCAGCAAAGCTTCCAGCTCCAGTTCCTCCGCCAGCCTGATCACTTCTACTTCAACACCCTCAAATCTTCTATCCTTCATTCACGTTCCATCATCAAATCTTTGGTAAACGCTCGGTCTGTTGATGAAATCTCCCTTGTGGACAATGCCACCACTGCTGTTGCCATTGTTTTACAGAACTGTGCATGGGGTTTTACTGAAGGGAGATTTAACAAAGGAGATGTTGCCGTCATGTTGCATTATGCTTATGGTGCTGTAAAAAAGTCTGTTCAGGCTTATGTGACGCGTGCTGGAGGGGAAGTTATTGAGGTACAGTTGCCTTTCCCTGTTACATCAAAGGAAGAGATCGTGAGTGAATTTAGAAAGGCTTTAGAGAGAGGGAAAGAAAATGGGAAGAAGAAAGTTAGGTTGGCTGTGATTGATCATGTTACTTCAATGCCTAGTGTTGTTATTCCTGTTAAAGAATTAGTTAAGATTTGTAGAGAGGAAGGTGTTGATCAGGTTTTTGTTGATGCTGCTCATGGAATTGGGTGTGTTGATGTTGATGTGAGAGATATTGGGGCTGATTTTTATACTAGTAATTTGCATAAGTGGTTTTTTTGCCCTCCTTCTATTGCATTTTTGTATTGCATGAAGAGAGGAGAGGAGGGCAATGGGGGTGATCTGCATCATCCTGTCGTTGATCTGCATCATCCTGTCGTGTCTCATGAGTATGGTAATGGATTGGCTGTAGAGAGTGCTTGGATTGGGACTAGGGATTATAGTGCTCAATTGGTTGTTCCAGCGGTTTTGGAGTTTATTAATAGGTTTGAAGGTGGGATTGACAGAATTAAGGAGAGGAATCATGAAAAAGTTGTGGAGATGGGGGAGATGTTGGTGAAAGCTTGGGGGACTAATCTTGGATCTCCGCCGGAGATGTGTGGGAGTATGATTATGGTTGGATTGCCTGCTTGTTTGGGGATTTCGAGCGAGTCGGATTCTTTGAAGTTAAGGACACATTTGAGAGAGCATTTCCAGGTTGAAGTTCCTATTTATTTTGGAGCTCCGCTTGATGGAGAAGTTGGTTCAGTTACTGGCTATGCTCGGATTTCTCATCAAGTTTACAACAAGGTTGAGGATTATTACAGGTTTAGGGATGCAGTTGACCAACTGATCAGTGATGGCTTCACTTGTGCATCTCTCTCTGATTGAAAAGGTATGCCCTGTCTCTAATTGTACACAGGGTTTGCAAAAGCTATCTTGATGATCATGGCTAGCATTTTATGTGCCTCAATCTAGGTGCAGTTTTCAGTTGCTAATCTGTCGATAGATAATTTATCAGTTGCTTTTTCAAAAAATAAAAAGAAATCTATTTTTGAATCTGGGAAAGCAAGGTGATTCCCCTCAATTTTGGAACTGGTTCTAATAATCAGTGCCTTAAACTATATCATTACGATACCGAATAGGAACGTGCCAAATTTATATCCTTCGCTATTTGTTTGTCATCTGAAACTTCAGTCATGTTAAAGTTAAACTAACGACTTAGATTATTTACCCTTAATTAAATTGTGGTTACAGTATAGCGAACATGAAGAGGATTATGCATAGAGGAACATGGGTTGATAGAGTGTTATGCCTTCCTTCTGTCATAATGACGATGATTCGAGTTTATGGCTGTCAAATTTCGTGCTGTCAACATATATTCAATTTACTGTTAATCTGTAGTTAGCCAATATCAAAAAATAGTCACTGTGGTTACATTTTACCCGCTGTGGAGATTGTTTGTGTACGATGGAATACAGGTGGTTTCTTCCTCATATTGGTGAAAATCATTTCAGCTGTTACTTAAATCAAAGTGACCTCCTTGCATTGTCTCTGCCCTGATTGCATTTACAATTGCAAGTACTGACATTAATGATGAATGTAAGCGTAATAATGGAATGTCCCTTAAATCGATCACATCCCTAGAATATGTCATGGTACAGCGTTTTTAGAGGGAGGATCATTTTTTGCTTGCCATCGCCAATATACTCAGCCGGTTCTGTTGTTGTCCACTCATGATAACACTGTGGAGTAATGCCTTGTTCAGATTTTCTGGTGATAGATTCAGTAGTGAAACTTTTTATATTGTTTCTATGCATTTAAACCGTGACAACGGCTAGTGATGACATTTCTAGAAATTTTGCGTGAGGAGAAGTATAAAGAATACAGAAACGCACAACTTACTTAAACCACCCATCGAGCTTGAGTCAAATCAATTAGTAAAGATCTGAAATGAATCTGATCTTGTTAACCAATTAATGAACATCTGTCACAATGATTTGTTGTCTTGTTTGTCTACATAGTCAAGTACTGCCTATCCATCTACCATAATGATATCACAGGTTTACTTTCCCAGAGCAGCTATACCTTTCCAGTTTCGGACTTCTCTCCTCCAGGTGCTTGTCAAATTCCCTAGCTTTTGTCTTACTTTCCTAGTACTCTAATGGAGAGAGTGTTCAGGTCTTTGATTCAGGGTATTCACTGGAGTTCTTGTGTGGGATTTACCTGCAAAACAGTATCTATTCAAGGACCATCCTTGGAATGTCTCGAATACATGGCGGTGTTTGAATAGATTGTTCCCTGCAATTCCTTCATCTATTCTTGAATGAACAGAAGTATTATTCTTAGTAAAAGTTTCTCTTCTATATTTGAGGGTAATTGCAATAAATGGTTGTATCTAAATTGATTGAAATGAAATTAGAGAGCACAATTTGTAAGAATGAACATGCTCCAAAGCAAATAATCTGCTTGTAGCGGCTGCTCCTCCACCATTTCCATGTAGCTAAATTTCATGATTTTATTAAAAAAATAATATAAATTATATTTTTGAATTTTATCTAAAAGATTAAATTGTTAAATTGAATTGGTTTTTGATATGGTATGACTAAGTAGTCATGAATTTAAATCTTATCATTCCTTATTTATTTGATAAAATTTAAAGATAAGGTAACGTGGGTTTATATAAGTTTCAAGTCTTTGGGGTTTTTAATTGAGTGAATGTGATAAAGAAACTTCACCTAATAACTTAAATTATTGAATTGAATTAATTCCTTAATAGATTCATGCATTAGTCTTCTTGAAAACATGTTGTAGGATTCAAACTATAGATTGGTAACGGTTGGTGTATATGGAATTAAAAACCATCAAGTGTAAAATTTCTTGTAGTGCTAATGAAATCCGCAGAACAACTACTTTAACCTAGAGTTTTTGTTTGTATGTAGTTCAACGAGGTATGGTGGAAGTGTTCCAATAAATAACAGCAAGTGGCCATGGTTTCGGTACCATGACTTGCAAAAATTGATAAACAAACTTGAGATTGATGATGGGTATCAAAGCTTTAAGATCGTTCCTCTACTTTCTTTCTTTTAAATTTGTACAGGAGATGAACTTGTCTGTTCTTCTTCCAAGTGATATCCTTGTAAATATTATTATTAACCGATTTTAATTATTGTAGGACTCAAAAAAGCTAGAGCTTATCACATTTAACAGTTGACCTTAATTATCAGTTTGTGTGCTTGTATTGTAACCCAGTATACCATGGAGATTGTATCTGATATATGTATTGGATTTCTAATTTTTGTGTGGACAGCTAGTACACTATGGATTAACTTTCAAAACCACTTGAGATGAGCTTGAAAATGATGTTGGCAAATACCTATTATGCACAACTATAATATGTGGCCGCTCCATCATATGAGTTCTTCGAGGGTTTGTTTGTTTGGAAATATAATAGTATTTATGGTTTAAAGTGTTTTTTTATTTAAAAATATATTAAAATAATATTTTTTTTATTTTTTAAAAATTATTTTTTATTTCAACGCATTAAAAAATCTTAAATCATGAAAAATTAAGCAAAATTTTTTTTTTAATGTGGTTTCAACCATATTCCCAAATACATCACAAAACCTACCTCCCATTTCACTCTCTACAAACCAATTGAAGAAGCTTTGATTTGAATGATATTATTTTTATGGTTCATAGTATATTTATAAAATTCAGTATGGTCTGGCAGGTTGACCCGAGATTCATGTAACCTAGGATCTTGGCCTGGTTTCAAACCAAAAAAACTTGAAGATGTAATTGACACAGCCAAAACCAAGTGAATTGCAGGTCAACTCAAAACTCATGTGTTTCAACCTAAACTAAGTTAGATTTGATTTTTTTTAATATTTTTTATTTTTTTAATAAATCAAAAAATATAAAAATAATTTATGAATGCTTAACATTATATATTTTTATAACTTGCATATACATAGATTTTTTTAACTTTTTAATATGAGATAATTATATTATACCTCATGTTTTATATTTTTCTTTTTATAACCATGTATTATTTCAAAACTTCTCTATATGGAATATTAAATCTCAAATATAATTTTTTTTTAAATTGATATAAGTCAATTTATATGATCTAAAACATGATTACTTAACTAGGTCTACTCTCGAAATGACTTGATTTTATAGTATTGCATTGACATTATCATATCTATCTCTAGATATTGTTTTTTTTTATCAAACAATATCTTTTATATAAAAAAAATTAAAAAATTTAAATTATATTTTGATTAAATTATTTAAATTTAACAAAATCATCTCATCTAGATTATTTTAATAACAGCTATTAAATTGAGCCCTTCGCATAATTTAATAGCATTCCCATCCAACTATATTATTACAAGAGAGGAGAAAGTAAAAGTCATCCCAACCAACCCAGAAGATCTTGCAAATCTTTCTATATTTTTATTTAGAATATCCTTCTTTGCAAATAAAAGCAGAAGAAGAAGCCTGTGCGGTTTGGACAGTGGTCAAACGAAGAGGTGGAAATGGACCCTGAATTTGATAAAAGAATCCAATCATAGAAAGGGACCCACCAACCACGCTGCATCCCAAATCATTGAATCTGTACTTTCATTATAGGCACCGAATTCCACCTCTCAACCAGTAAAAATAATAATAATAAAAGGGCTAAAGATCAATTAGGGTCCCTTTTACTTACACCTTTTAGCATGAGGATATATTCTTATACATCGTTTTAAAATTACAAAAATTAGAGTGCTGATGTTTGTTATAGCAAAATTCTCAGTAACCAAATACTAGAATTTATATATTGAATAATATAAATTTACTTATTTTTCTGTAATTATCGGTGTATATGCTGTAATTAGAAACTACATATGATAGAAGACATCATTATTCATAACATAACACTCCTATTTCCATACAATTAATGATATAATTGTATTAATAGGCTCAAACAACCCTCCATTGGAAGTAAGAGGATTTTTTAACTTCATAAAAAGTATAGGGACTAATATGACTAATATATAAAGTTGAGATACCATGTAAAGTTTCTTAGCCTGAACAAATCTTCCTAGGCTGACAGCGTAAAACTCTTGAGGTTCCCTGTACTTGGTACTGTCTGTTTTTATCAAAACACAAAAACCCGACACACATGGTCCCTCTCTCTCTCTCTCTCTCTATGGTTCTGTTCTGATTGAGAGGCTAGTTTGAATCCAAGTCCTGTTTATACAAGGGTTTTCTTTTTTCTTTTGGGGAATTGAACCAATTTCACAGGTTCTCTCTTCCCTTTTTTATCTGTAATAAAGGTACCGGCTTTCTTTTTATTTTCTCGCTATGTTGTTCGTGTTATTATTTCAATTCTTTAGGGTTTGTTCATTCTGTGTTTTGTTAAATTTGTTTTTTTCTGGACAATTTTGTAATATTTGAGGATAAAGTTTTGAGCTTTATTGTTCATTTGGGATTCTTGGTGGAAATTGCCGTGTAATGTTTTCTGGGTTTCACTGGAACGTAGAAAGTTAGCTGTTTTTATTAGTGCTCTAGGAATTGAGTCCTTTAATTTGGTTGAGGCTGGCCAAAAAGATTGATTTTTTATCCCTTTTTGGTATTGGGATTTTGAAATTTCAAAGCTGACGTTGATTGCTAGACTGTTTTCATTGCACCCTACCAATGTTGTTTGATTTAGTAGTTAGTTCCCGCCAATAACAGCTTAGTAAAAAGTTTCATTAGGCAGAATTGAGTGAAATTTTGTTGTTTTGCGTTAACTTGATGTGGTTGGAAGCCTGATCATGAAATCTTTAATCTATTTCATCTACATTGTTGTAGTAAACAAAAACACAGCTTTCGTCCATTTGGCTGGTAAGATAGCTGAAAGATGGATTTTTCTGACTAAGTTTTTGAAAATCCACTCTATGTCCATTCGTTACATAGTCATAGGTATTAAAAGATTGCAGAGCTTGCTTTGGTACTTCTTTTTCCGGTTATCTGTAAATGTGATGTTTTCTCATAATGTATTACATTTTGGGTTCTAATTTATTACTTAATTGTTGGGTTTAGTCAGGTGATGGCGGAGATAAAAATAATAGCTATTTGTCAGTTGGGTGGTGAATTTGAAACGGATAAGGATGGTACTTTGTGTTATGCAGGTGGTGATGCTCATGCTATAGACATTGATGACAAAATCAAATTCAATGATTTCAAGTTGGAGGTGGCTGAGATGTTTAGTTGCAATGTCGATACCATGTCTCTCAAGTACTTTCTCCCGGGGAATAAGAAGACTCTCATTACTATCTCTAATGACAAGGACTTAAACCGGATGATAAAATTCCATGGGGATTCTTTCACTGTAGATATTTATGTGATTTTGGAAGATAATTTTCTGCCTGGTGTCTCAAATTTGCCTGCCAGTAGGTACTATCCTTGATGTCTAACCTAAAAACTTTGGTCATTTTGTTGATCTTTTGGAGTATCTTTACCAATTCTTGATTTTGTAGATCAAGCAGGACAACTCTGTCTGAAGAAGAGCCTCCTATTGATGCACCTCTTGCCGTTCTGGAGGATATCAACCAGCCCGATAACTCACTTTCTGCAACTCTTGATCTTGATGTTGTAGACGATACCAATAATGTTGATGTTCATATTGAAGATCCGCAGATTGATCCACTTGAGATTTCACCCATTCTTCCTCTTCTTGCTTCCAATGATGAGAAACATGCTAAAGGTGCACAGCAATGGCAGAATACTATTACTGGAGTGGGTCAAAGATTCAGAAGTGTTCATGAATTTCG